ACAGTACCGCGCGTGCAAGCCCCATGCGGAGCCTTCTGGTCCACTCGTGCCGACTGCACTGCCGAAAACTTCCATGGTAACTCGGTCCGAACGTCCTGCGTGTCACTGGTATGCACCGTCATCGCGGGGACGCCATCGAAGTAGGCAATACCCTTGACCCTGTCGTGCTCTAGCTTCGCCTGTGGGTGAAGGTCGTTTGCAAGCGCCGCCAAAAATTTGGTTTGCAACTCCGCGTGCCCTTTATGGTTGAAGTTCTCAAGTCCAACATGTCTGTTTGCCCCACCCCGTTCCGTCGCATTCGTCGAGAAGTGCTTATGTTCACCCTGATGGTTCTTGAGTGCCCTGCAAGCTGTTCGAACTTTCCTTTATGCCAGCCCACTGCCGCCTGCCTTGGATATCATAACGTGTGCTCGGTTTCAATTTGGATGACATACCGCGTACTGCCCTGCCCACAGATTTGCGTTGATTGTTTTGGATGCCCTCTTCCGCAAGCGAGACCAAGACTTCCTTCCTAACACCATCGGCCGACACGAGAGCGGAGAGACTGGCCACCGTGATGGTGGCGTCAGGGGTCCTGTCCCAGACCATGCCCATAGAATCCTTGATGGGGATGGCTCGCTCGTGGATGCAGAGCTCCTTTCGCATGACCTCGAACTGCTGTCGCATTTCCGTATGAGACCCCTTCAGAACGTCACGCGTGGCCTGCAACGCGGAGATAACCGTCTCGCGCCGGCGGCTGACTCTTTCCTACGTCGCTGCCGCTGCCTTGACCAACTTCCCCGAGTGACCGCTTCTCTCCTCCACCATTTGTTTCTGGACTGGGCCGAACGTGTCATCCACTGATTTGATCATCTTTGCCTTGAACGCGCCGAGGGGCCATCCATGTAGACGGGGCCACGGAGAGGGGGCGACTGCGGCGGAACATGACGAACACCGGAGCTCCCTCTAGGGGGGAGGCACAGGGGCAGCTGTTCAAATTGCAGCGGGGGCGGGAGACGCAGGAGCTGCACCGTCCCAGGGGTCACCTTGTCCAGCTTGCACTGGAACAGGAACGCGATGGCCAGCACCCCGAGCGGCAGCACCAGTAGGCGTCAAACCATCCTCTCCAGCACCTACAGTTGGGAGCGGGCCGTCTCCTTCACCCCGCATGCGCGCAGATTGCTGGGCAGAAGAGCGGTCGTGGCCGCGCAGCGCATGCTCAGACATAGATCTTGGCCTCGTGCAAAGAAGGACTGGCAGGGAGCACGGTGCAGAAACAGACAGATCAAGTATCAGTGCGAAAGAAGGCTCACTAGCAGTGCGTCATGGCGCCCCCCTTGGCGGTTGTCACATACAGCGGAAACCGAAGGTTGAAGCCACCGCGACTCGGCGTTTCAGCCTTGAGCCCAAATGGCTATGGACCTCCTCCACTTCCTCATACACCTCCTCTTCTCATCCTCCTGTTCCTCCTCATGTTCCTCCTCCTCCTCCTCCTCCTCCTCCTCCTCCTCCTCCTCCTCCTCCCCTGCTGCTCCTCCTCCTCTTTTTTTCTAGCCTCCCAAAGCCTCAACTTAAGAGGCCCGTGGGGCCTCCCGAGAAAATCGGAGACCCGGACCTGTGGGGACTCGAGACGTTCACGTCGCCTTGAAGCTGTTTCCCCAAACGAGCTGGTACAGTAGGAGTTCGATCACAAGAAACCTTCCACAAGAAAGCCAACCCTGAGACCCCAGGACGTCCACTGATTGTTTGTGTGGCACGCTTATAGCAAAACCATCGAAACCCAAGAAACACGGGGCACCTTGGAGGCAAGCAGGGTGTTTCTTGGCATGGGTTTCCACTGTATGCAAGGCCGGTCTGGGGAAGAAGTCGTGACATACGGGGGCCAGCGAGTCGTATAAGACTCGAGCCGTCTACAGGCTCGGAAATGTTTCTCCGAACGCCGCACCAAAGTGCAAGCGGCAGCCGAAAGACACACGCATGCTTTGCACCAAGCCACATGCATGATGTTGCCGCCCCAGCCGAACCACATGAAATTCAAATTGAAGGACACCCTGCGGGCCAGGACCCCTTGGGTCATCCACTCTGTTAGTCCCACCAGCCCTCTGGGCGTAGGTGGTTTAGGGAGTTTCCTCTTCCACCCCTCCTTCTTCCCCTTCGGGGAGGGGTTTATCACTCCCCCTACCCCCTCCCCTGGACCTGGACAGGAGGTTCCGCGAGTCGTCGGAGCGTCCAAAACGGCCTCGGCGAGGAAGCCAAAATCATTGGTTTGACCAAGGTTTTGGCCCCATTTTGGCCTCCTGAGGGGGGGGGCCTAATTAGTGACCCCCCCTCCTGTGATCGATCTCACCCAAGATGGCCCAAAGATGGCCCCCAAGGCTCCCAAGGGTGCCCCAAAAGGGCCCCAAGAGGTGGCCAGGAAGTCCCAAGAGGCCCCCAGGATGCCCCCAAGAGGCTCCCGAGAGACCCCCAAGAGGTCCCAAGAGACCCCCCAGAGGCACCCAAGATGCTCCAAGAGGCCTCGGCGAGAATGCCAAATCATTGATGTTACTAAGGTTTTAGCCACATGTTGGCCTCTTTGGGAGGGCACTGATTCAGATGACTCCAAGAGCGCCTGGGAGAGCCCAAGATGACCTCCAAGATGGCTCAAGATATCCCAAGATATCTCAGAATGGCTCCCACGATGCTCCAAGATGCCCCAAGACCGCTCCAATCGCTTCCGATGGCCATCCGAGGCCTCAAGATGGCTCCAAGATGGCCCAAGATGGCTCCAAGAGAGGCTCAAGAGAGCCCCAAGACGGCCCCAAGAGCGCCTAAGAGCGCTCCAAGAGCGCCCCAAGAGCGCCCCAAGAGGCGATGTGTTGGGCTCCCGAGGGGCAACGCTAACGAACGCTCGCTTCTTGTTTGATCGATGTCCTCCAAGATGGCCCCAAGAGCGCTCCCAAGGCTCCCAAGAGCGCTTCAAGAGGGCCCCAAGAGGCGCCCAGGAGGCCCCAACAGGCGCCCAAGAGGCCTCCAAGATGCTCCCAAGAGACCCCCAAAAGGCCCCAAGAAGCTCTCCGAAACACCCAAGAAGCTCCAATAGGCCTCCACTGGGGGACCCTTCCTTTGTGTGCTGCCCGCTGCCCTGATCGAGGCAATTCCTCTGGGCATCGTTTCTGGATGGGCTGGTAGGGTTATCTAGAATTTCATGTTGTTACGGAGAGTGTATGGTGCCAGGTGGGACGTCTCGCTCAAGACATCCTCGGAATGTGTCTGGTTTGGCCCCCAGCTCGACCTGGCTTGACTTGGTTCGGCCTGGTTTGGCGATGCGCCCCGCGTGAGACGTCATCAGAGTTTGCCTTGTTTGGGCCTGGGCCTGGCATGTTTTAAAGCCAGCTTCGCCTGAGAGGTCCTCAGAATCTGCTTGTCTCGGCTTGCTTTCTCACAGATTTGCCTGAGACATCCTGGCAACTGACCTGGCTTGTCCTGGTTTCGGCGCGGTTTCGCTGGAGACTCCCTCGCAATTTGCCCATAGGTCCCGGTTCCGGCGCGGTTTTGCTTGGTACGGTCTTACGCCTTGCCTGGTTTGGGCGCGGGTGCGCCTGCCACGTCCGCAGGATGGGCCTGGCCAAGGCTGGTGCATACGGCATCTCTTGGGAGCGCATGTTGCACCTCCGCCAGATTATCTCAGCAGTGGAGCCGCCTCCGTCTTGCGTCCGCCAGCTTCCTGCTGGGAAGGGGGGGCAACTCCTTCGACCTCTCGAGGGTGAGACACTTCCTGGAGCGCCCTGTGTGGACGGATCTCGTTGCCCGACTCCACCTCCCTCCTCCGCTGAGGGGCCACGAGTGGGGGGGACCAGCTCCTGGGGGGGGAGGCGGAGGCGGAGGCGGAGGCGGAGGCGGAGGCGGAGGAGGAGGAGGAGGAGGAAGAAGAAGAATCGATTATAAATCGTCGCACGTTCCTGGGCGGGATGGGCCATCAGGCTCCTATCAGCGGTCTCAATGGGTGCGCGGGGGTCGACGCATGTCCCCTTGAGCCGCTCCCCTTAAAGTTAGGTCGGGCATGTCTCCCTACAGGCGGATTCTGGACGGGAAAAAACTTAAACAAATACGTAATAATAGCCAAAAATCAAAGACTCGTCCCCAGACTATGTTTCATTATTTTTGAATATTCCTCCTGTAGAGGGACAGGCCCGACTTAACCCTAACGTTGCCCCTTGGCTTTGAGGTCATAGCTCGGCTCTGCAGCGGCCGTTCGGGGCGATCCGGGCAGCGCCGGCACGCTCTCGGCGAGTCGCAAGTTCTGGTCGGGGATCTCCTGACCCGGGTCAATCCAGACCCGGGTCAGCAGGAAACCAAAACCTGCAATGCAGGAAAAACAAAAACTGCAACGCAGGTCTTCGCAAGCCCGGGTCAGCCAATATGCGCGGCCGCCCCGCGGCCACGAGCGGCTCGCTGACCCGGGTCAGCCAGAGGGGGTCCTCGCAGGATCCTGCACGATCTTGTGCCCTGGCTGACCCCCGTTTGCATTGACACCCGTCTCAAGGCTCCCGATCTGGAAAGGCTGGAAAGCCGCCGGGAGCCGACGCAGACGCCCAGAAAAGCGGAGCTCCGTGCGAAAGTCCTCCTGTCCCCCAGACCGCCGACGTCATGATCTTGCTCGCCACGTCGACCCCCGAAGGTCTCGACCCCTTCCCAGGGGCCGGCTTTTCATCCTGACTCGTTTTCTGACGGTCCTGGAGCCTGGCGAGGGCCCCCAGAAGCCGAAAATGGCGAACCAACTCCCGTCGTCATGTCTTCATGACCCGAGGGGTCTGGGACCCCCCCCCCCTCTCATCGCACTGGCCTCGCACACGTGCTGCAGCGGATTTATGAGTGGATTTTTGCATGGAGTTTTGCCCGAAACGGCGAGCGAAAAACGAAATGAATTTCGCGTGGGTTCTTTTTGGTCTTCATTCCTGGCCAAGACAATCCGCACGAAACTCACCTCGAAATCCGGAGCGAAATTCTCCAGGGCACTCCGGGCCCACCCTATCGTTTTCCGAACGAAATCCGCGCTGCGATGTTGGCGCCATGACCCCTCGACTTTTCGCCACCCCCGCTGCGCAGAGGGCTGGCGCGGTGTCCCCGCACGGAAAGAGCCGCACGCCCGCGGCGCGTCCGGGAGGGGCCCCGCGGCGGTCGGTCGCACCAGCCTGGCCAGCAGCGGCGCTGGTCGGCCGCGGGGCCGACGACAGGAGGAAGGGAAGCCAGACATGCTCGCGCCGCGAAGAGTCAGGACGGAAGGTGTGTGCTCATTTTGGATATCTGGGGGCCCTCGCTGGGCCACAAGACCGTCATAAAACGAGTCCTGATGAAAAACCGGCCCCGGAGAAAGGTCGGGGTCGGCCAAAGAGGGGGGCGTCCAAGAGGGGGGGAGTGCAAATCATGGCCGGCGGTATGTGCGCGGCCCCAAGGGGGGCCGGAGACGTAATGAAACAAGACGGGGCGCCATGAAGTCTGGGGAGATGTCATGGCCCACACCATGATATCCCCCCCCCTAGTTAGTCATCACCCCCCTCTTTACCACACCCGAAAAAGGTTGGGATTTCTGGGAACCCCGTACGGAAAAATAAAGACATCGCATGCCTGGGAAGCAAGAGAGCACGGGAGACCAGCGCACGGTCGAGTTCGATAGGGGATGACACCCGAGAGGGCGCCAGACCCTTCCGAGGGCCACGTTGCCACAGGAGTGTGGAAGGCATGGGCCGCAAAACACTAGACACAAGGTAGACACAAGGGCATCCTTGATTAGGCAGGGTCGACCAACTAACCACAGAGGAGGAGGAGGAGGAGGAGGAGGAGGAGGAGGAGGAGGAGGAGGCGGAGGAGGAGGGAGGAGGAGGGGGGGAGGAGGGGAGGGGGAGGGAGGGGGAGGGGAGGGGAGGGGGAGGGGGAGTCGTCCACGACCATGGCTAGAGACCCCGCGGCCTCCTGCCCCTCGCGACGCCGTGCTCGCAGGAATTGCCCGCAGCGACGACGGAGGAATCGGAAGCGACAGGCACGGCGGCAGCAGGAGAGCACAGGAGGAGGAGGAGGAGGAGGAGGAGGAGGAGGAGGACCAGTGAAAACCCAAGACGCACCAACAATGCTGCCACAGATTATCCCCCCAAGTTCCCTCTTCAAATGCCCCTACCAGAGTGTATTTTCTTTGTGGGGAGGGCCCGATCGGATGACACCCGCCCGGGAATCCCCACGCGTGCCAAAACACAGCCGTGGCCTTCGATGCCGCGAATCAACGTCACTCCTCCTGACAGTCTGCAATCGTGCCCACACATCGTTCCTGGAACTTCAACACTGCGAATGAATCAACATAATTGCTGCGCCCTGGCGAATCTAAACCGTGCCAGTCCACCATCCCTGGGACTTGCACCAACGAACCCGTGAAATTGCTGCAACAGTGTAGGGCGAATGTGCGCGGCGCTTAAGCGAGAGCCACATTTGAACACGGACCGCCCTCCATCGTTGAAGCTGGTGCCACTCTCTAAAGTGAATGTGCACGGCGCTATAAAACGACACTTTTTTTTGAAAACGAGAGACACTCCCGTCTTGGGACTCTTGCGAGCATTTGAAACGAATGTGCGCGGAACCTGTAGAACGAATGCGCGCGGTGCTACGGCAAAAGCCACATTTTGAAAACTACCCACCCTCCATCCATGGAGCTGATGCAAGTTTCAAGATTCTGGACCATAGATGGCGAGGAAGTCTCGGGCGAAACGTTTACCGACACACTTCTGGGTGCGACAGGGAGGAGCTACCTATAAGGATGTCAGCCAGCGTGGACCCTAAACAATGTGTTTCTAGCAACGTATGATGCGCAGTCTTTTGGAACACACTATGTTGGACAATCTATGTGGGGCGATCTACGTGGCGCAACCCACCTTGCAGAACTCGACGTTGTCAACCCCAATGGTCGCGCAACCATCCCACCGCTCCCACCCTCCCACCCGCAATTTGGTTTGCCAAACCCAGAAGGCTGCGATTGCGATGGCTGGATGGTGCTGGCTGGTCAATCTCTGCGGCCGCGCTAGCGGGCGCAAGCTCGGGCATAACCGACGTGGTCGCAGTGGCGCTGACCGATTGGGACTTTCCAACGCGTCTCACAAGCCGCGCTGGCGCGCGGGCACTTCAATACGGGTCGGTGACTCGGGCGGGTGCGGTATCATGGTGACGTCGACAGCTGCGGAAACGATGATGATAGAAGCGATGTTGGTGGCGGTGAAAAGGATGACGACGACAAGGCCAATGTCGGCGCCGATGCTGGTCACGCCGATGCCAATGATGATGTCTATGATTCGCTGACGAAGGTTTTGGAGGGAGTTTGACGTAGGCGCGCGGCCGACGCGCGGGAGTGCCCCGCATGGTGTTATTTGACCGGGATCGTGCCCCCCCCCAGCAAGCGCGCAAGAGCGCTCGAATGATTCGGGCATGCGCGCGCGAGAGGCCCGCGTGGTCTCATTAGACGAAAAAGATGAAACCGAAGGCCTCCAGATGAATTGGCAAGAGCGCGCGCAGATTTGTTTGAAAACTACAATTGGAAGCCATTGGCTTGTTTGGGTGAACCTCGATCGTAGAATCCTTACGGAGCCCCAAGGTCTCTAAAGGATTCCGGCATGCGCTCGAAACGACACGCGCGCGTGTGGATTTGATCACACCAGTTGCACGGGAATGAATTCAAAACTATCGTGTTTGATCATCGAGTGCGCGCGCATGGTATCATTTGATAGGGATGAAAAGAGGGCGATAAGCGGTCCCCTAGGAAAGGTGTGAGTTCATATCTCAAATGACCTATGGGGCATGATCATATGTAAATTGCAATGTCCCGGAGAGCGTCGATAAACCCAGGGGGGCGAGAGTCTATTTTCCTTCTAGAAAGAAGAACCTGTGTAGTGCGATCTCTCTTGCGCAATGTCCACCACCGGGCCCTCAGCACGTAGCAGTGTGCTCGAAGTCCCATGCAGCCCTGAGACTACAGATTGTACAGTTCCAAAGGCCCCGACCACCAGTTTCACAAACATGTCTGGGGATCCCCCAATATTCCCAAGGATTCTCGGGGATTCCCGGGGATTTCCGGGGATTCCCGGGGATTCCCGGGTTGCGTCGCGTGCGTCCCCGGGCAGCGCAGCTGGCCCAAGAGGGCCCCGAATGGCCACGGGATCTGTCCAAGACGCCCAAGATGGTCTTCAGTCGGCCGAGAGAGCGCCCAAGACGTCCCAAGATGCCTCCAAGAGCCGTCCCGAGAGGGCCCGAGAGGCCAAAGTTTCATTAGGTTTTAATGGCTTGGGGGCCCTCGACTTCTCGAGCTTCCAACGCTTCACGACTGTCCAAGAGGCTCCAAAGACCGCCCCAAGAAGGCTCAAGAGGCCCCCAAGAGGGCCCCTAGACGGCGCAAGAGGGCTCCAAGACGGACCGAGAGGGCCCAGTTTGGGTTCTTTTTCCAAAAGAACTCCCCCTGGGGTTTCGGCCCTGGCCGCTGGGGTCCCGGAATGGCCCAAAAAGGGCGGTTCCAAAAGTTGTTTCTGCTCCAGATGGCTCCAAGATGGCTTCCAAGACCTCCACGATGGCCCAAAATGGCCTCCAAGTCCGCCCATGATGGTCCAAGATGTCCCCAAGACGGCCCAAGAGAGTCCAAGATGCCTTCAAGTTCGTCCAAGAAGCCTCCAAGACGGCCCAAGATGGCTCCAAGATGGCCTAAGACTGCCCAAGAGGGCCCCAACAGGCCTCCAAGAGCTCCACCAGGAAGGCCCGAAGAATGCAAAATCATTGGTGTTCCTTCGGTTTTTGAAAGATTTGAGCAGTTTCTTCTTTTCAGCTCTCCGACGGCCCAAGACGGCCCAAGAGGCCCCCAACATCGCCCCAAGAGCGCCCAAGAGGCCTCCAAGATGGCCCCATGACAGGCCAAGAGGCCCCCAAGAGGGCCCCGACAAGACCCCAAGACGGCCCAAGAGGCCCCCAAGACGCCCAAGATGGCCTCCAAGACAGCCAAAACGGCCTCAAAGATGCTCCCAAGACGGCCAAGAACCCTCCAAGACGGCGAAGATGGCCCCAAGATGCACCCAAGACGGCCCCAGATGGCCTGAAGATGGCCTTAGACTGCCCAAAAGGCCCGCCAGAGGCCTCCAAGACGGCCCAAGACCCCTCCAAGACGTCCTCCAGGAGGCCCGAAAGCTCGGAAACCACCTGGTCCGATAGCTCGCTCGACTCCGTGTTCCCCGAAGGCTTTCGAAACCCACTCGGGGAACGCGTGGCCCGATAGCTTGGCCAAGCTCAACCCCAACTTTCGGCCACGCAGGCGCTTCCAAAAAGGCAGGAGGCGGCGGTGATTCGCCTTCCCTGCTCCAGGTGGCTTTAAGATGGCCCACGATGGCCTCCTAGAGGCCAAGGTAGCCCCCAAGGTCACCCAAGATGGTTCAAGATGGCCTCCTAGAGGCGGCCCAAGAAGGTCAAGGATGCCTCCAAGTCCGCCCAAGTAACTTCATAGACGGCACAAGACGGCCCAAGAGTCCCCCAAGAGGCCTTGAAGAAAGCTCAAGAAGCCTCCATGCGGTCATCAGGGAAGGGCTCAAGAGGCCAAAATCATGGATTGTCCTTCGGTGTTTGAAAATGTTGGCATGCCATTTTGTTCGGCCTTCCGACGTCCCAAGATGGCCCAAGAGGCATCCAAGATCGCCCCCAGAGCGCCCGAGAGGCATCCGAGAAGGCCCTATAACGGCCCAAGTGGCCTCCAAGACGGCCCCAAGAGGGCCCCGAGACAGCCCAAGAGGCCTCCAAGACGCGCAAGATGGCCTCCAAGACGGCCCTGGAGCGCCCCGAGAAGGCTCAAAGACGCCCCCAAGACGGCTACCGACTGCGTCAGACGTACCAAAGACGCCCCACGACGGCCAAAGAGGCCCCCCCCAAGAAGCTCCCAAATCCCCCCAAGAGGCCCGAGGAGGCCTCCAAGAGGCCTCCAAGAGGCCCCCAGGGAGCTCCCAGCAGACCCCAAGAGTACCCTAAGATGCTCCCGAGAAGCCTCCTCATCCTCGTCCTCCCTCTCCTCCTCCTCCTCCTCCTCCTCCTCCTCCGTATTCCTCCCTCGCTTCTTCTTCTTCTTCTTCTTATTATTCGACCTCTGCTTCGTTTTCTGATTGCGTCTTCTTATGAGCCGTATGACTAGCATCACTCGTAGTATAAGTATGACGTTTCTTATCAATATTACGAGTAGACTTCGTGTTAGCATCAGAGTAGTAGTGCTGACCATATCCTTAGTATTATTATGATGTGTGATATGCTTTGTGTTAATGACATTGTTCGTAGTCTCAGTACTGTCAAGTACCAGTATGAATGTTATTAATAGTAGTGAACGTTTTATTCAGCGTTTCGACATTGGGCGGAAGGCAGTGGGAGGGGGGGGGTCTGGCTCCGGACCCCTGCTTAGTGCGACTGTTTGCATCAGAGCGGCCGACGGGCCGATCGGCAAAACAATGAATAAAAAAACGCCCACTGATGTATATTCTTCATAATGTTCGGATTATGATTGGCATGGGTAGTCAAGTTTCTCGTGTTGGTATCATTGGTAGTCCTAATGCTATAAGTAGCAAGAGTACCAG